GTGTAATGGTGTGACCCCCTATTCCCTTTTCACAGCCTAAAAGCCAGATGACCTAATTTTCCAAACTTTTGCAGCCAAGCGGGGAACGGGTAGTGGACATCTCCGAAACACTACCAGAAATACTAGCTTTTCACACCGGGGACCAGGAGGAGGGTGTTATCCAGCGCAAATAAAACGAGAAACGCTCCCCTCCGTGGCTATCATAACAGTGGGGCGCGACTGCAACGGCAGAGCGACGACACGCGTCATGGTGAAGTATGAACGCTCCTCAAAACCCTGTCCGACTAAAGTAATCAGCCTGATTCTGATTAGGACATATTCCATGACATTCGAATGGGCGGAGACAGAGTATCGTTCTGCTTTCCTCAGTGCTGATGCCGCACTTCGAAGCCTTACCGTGTTCTGGGGGGGGGGTGTTACAAGGAGAAGGCTCTCAGTATCCGCCCATATGATCAGAGTGGAATATGTCTCTGTGAAATGGGCGTAAGTGCAGGTGTTAAATGTTGACTCGAACCCCTCACTATGTCTTTTTGAAAGGGCAGCTACCACGCACCAGAGGGATCACGTGGGAGTGTGGGCGGAGCTGTCTGGGGCGGATTCCGAACGAAGAGCTGCTGAGACGCTAGAGGAGGTATTACAGACTGAAATCGCTGCGAAAACACACCGATCATAGCGTCAGCTTCTCGCATCCATAGTTCCATCGCATCGCGAGCATTATTCCAGACACGGCTCTGTTCGCCAATCTGCTGCAACGTGGCGCGACGTTTTTCGCATTGTCGTGCGACCCGCTCCATGTCTTCAACCTGGAAAAGAACGACTTGATGGGCAGGTGGGAAGGGTCACGAACAGGGGACTGCGGGGGCTTCAATAGTGATTTTTGACTTGGGGTCAATCAGCAATCCAACGAAACCCTCACCAGATCTCTTGCTTTCTGTTTGACAAGCTCAGCACCGCTAGCGTCAGCTATACCAACCACGTCCATGATTTTCATCCGGATATGGTCCATAATTCCCTGAAAAGTTCAAACTAACAAATCTTCCTATAAGAACTTCAAGTCGAGGCTCTATTTGGATTGGAGTCAACCAGTGGCCTTTAGCTGTCCCAGAAGAGTAACCTTATCTCCTTAGGTTAATAGACAAGATCCACTCACCTGTACCGTATTCGTCATTTCACGGATTCCCGGCCGATCACACAGATCTACCGTAAGACTAGCGTCGCGTTCTAATTCATTTAACCAGTGCCGTAATTGCGTCAACGACTGCCAACTGGCCGCGTCGCGAGGGTTCAGATGAGGCATTCCACTGAAAAAAGAAGTCTAGTCAGTAATGACAAAATGCTCGAAGGAGCGGGATCGCAACAAGGTTTAGGTCCTTCCCCCTCCCAACGCCCTCCTTCCC